ATATATTTATAATATAATATATTCATATTATAATATCATAGCCAGCCTGGCTGAACTGCAACTGCCCCTGATTCTTGTTTTCTTAAATGCATTGTGTTTCTTGAGCGCAGCTCTTTCCCGGCCGTGGTGTGCTGTGCTTTCAAGTGAGCTCAAATATTATTTTAGGTGTCTTGCCCAGAGAAGAGACGCTGAGCGGGAGGTATCTGCCCTCTCTGAGCTTGCTTCCCAGCATGGTCCCTGGCACCTCCCTGCCGGGTTCAGACGGATGGGCAGCATCCCATCCCGGCAGCATCCCCATGTCCTATCCCAGCAGCAAGGACCTGGGCTGGGCTCTGGGATGCTCTGGGTGACCCTGCTTGTCGTGCGAGCCATGGGGTTCAGGCTGGTACCCACACACCCTCCCCGGTTGATACAGGGATGTTGCCCTCCTGGGCAGTGCAGGTAGCTCAACTGTGGGGGTTTGTCTGGAGGCAGCATGCTTAGGAAGGAATTTGCGGTGATTGCTTGTATAAACAAGTGGTTTGGATGTTCACAGTGCTTGCAAAACCCAAATAATTGGTAAGGAAGTGCAGATTAGCCTAAGAAATACAAAACTGGGGCTGCAGAGTACTGGGACCTGCCAGCAGCCCTTGCTTGGGCTGGAGAGGCTGTCTGCATGCAGGGAGCCCTCCAGACAGGGGGAATGAGGAGCATGGCAGGGCCAGCCAGATCCTGACCGCCACCTCCACTTGGCCGGCCTGGTGCCAGTGCCGGCACAGGGCTTTTCCCTGTGGCTTGCCAAGTGGCACTAGGGACCAGGGCTGCAAGGTTGAACTTCCACGCCAGGCAAAAGAGCTTGATGTACATGGGGCACTCGGGGACATGGTGGCTGGGTGGCATGGCAGGTCACATCGTGCTGCGGGGTGGCTTGTGGTGCATGTCCATCGATGGCAACCCTTGGCGTGGTTTCCTGCCAGGGGGTGATTGCTGACTTGAAGCTGCAAGGGGACCCACAGGCAGCTGAGCACCAGTGTGACGAAGAGGAGGATGACACTGAGGAGGTGAGTGCTGGCAGGCTGGCTGGGGCAGGCTGGGGGGCTGCTGACCTGTGCTCCCAGCTGACCTCTCACCCCTTCTCCCTGGGCAAATGCAGGTCTCTGGTGATTTTGGCAGCGGGACAGAAGGTGGACACCAACCCTCAGGGAAAGACAGGGTGAGTTGGTGCCCACGGGTGTTGCACTTGGTGGCTGGATGCCAAGATTTAAGGGATGAGGAGGGCTGGGTGCCCTCCATGGTCACGAGGTTCCAGGATGCCCGATGGGGTCCCGTCTCCTGTCCCATTTGAGAGGACACCAGGAGGTGAATGGCACTGCAGTGTCCCCTTATTGTTGGCACAGGGTGTTCCGGGGCTTGTGGATGCTGTTCCTGTCACCTCTCCCCCTGTGGCAGCGGGCAGTGGGCCCCGGGGCCGTGGGGG